GGCAAAGAATAATGTATTTTTATTCATTGATTTCATTTATACCCTGCTTTTCTCCCCTCTGGGGACCCAAAATGACTTACATTGTTGTCCTCACCTCCATCTTACCTTACAACAATCTTGTGAGGCTATGCTAAATATGTGTGACTGGCCCAAGGTCACCCAGCAAGCTTCCAGGGCAGAATGGGGATTAGAATCTAATCTCCCAGATCCTAGTCTTACATTTGAACCACTACACCACATGTATGAAAGATATATTGCACAAAAATGAACTCATTTAACCTCCTTTGGATGGTCTGCACTCTGTTTATACATTTTAAAATTTTGTTTTATTTATTTATTTACAGCCTTCCTCCCTCACAGAGATGCAAGACAGATTAAAGACAACAAGATGGGACATTCAAAAATAATGCAATAGGATTTTTATTGCAGAAAAAGAAACCAAGCAGAAATCTGAAAACAGAGCTGAAACAAAACATAAGCATTCACACAACACATTAAACAAATGCAGAAATTACACAATAGAATCATACTGACAGCAACAGAAACTATGTACTATATACAATATTATAGTCCACAATAACTGACCCTTTATGAAAGCATCTTTCTGAACCATTTTGTAACAATATTGCCCTATCACCTGCGTAAAAAAGCCTTCCTGAATAACTCAGTTTTGCATAGAACAAATGTAAAGTCCAGTGGCACCTTTAAGACCAACAAAGGTTTATTCAAGGCCTGAGCTTTCGTGTGCAAGGCACACTTTTTCAAATACATTGGAATGGTAGATGAGGTTCTAATAGACAGGGATTTAACAGCAAATTAACATGTAACATGATGATGTTTAAGTTATGCAAAGTGAAAAACTAAATAATAAGTTACGGTTATAAGGTCAATAGTTGTTGAGCAATAAATATGTCAAAATAGCAGATAAATGTCAAAAGGTGTTTTTTCTAATTGTGGGAAGTAACAGAATCTTAATTATCTCTTCTCAGGCGTGGAGGGGATGTGGAGGGCACTCAACAGTATATTTTGAACTGGATGTAATGTTTGCAGAATACCAGGAGAGTGGGAGCTTTCCTGAGCTCATCAAGCAAGCCGTTCCATAAGGTGGGGGCTGCAACAGAGATGTAAATTTATAGGCAGTTGTTGAATTTGCCCACTTGCAGGCTGGCATTTGCAGGAGGCCCTGATCAGATGGGCAAAGTTGTTAGGGCAAAGCATAAGGGAGAGGCAATCCTGCAGATATGAAGGACCAAGGCCATAAAGAGCTTTGTATGTTGTAGCCAATACCTTGAATTGAATCTGGTAACTGATGTGCTGCAGAATGAGAGTCACATGAATGCCCAACCTAGCTCCTTATAATAACTGAGCTGTAGTATTCTGCACCAAACAGGCTCTGCAAGTGGACTTCGAGGCAAGACCTATGTATAGCACATCACAGAAGTATAGTTTCAATGTTACTGTGGTGTGGATCCAGATCGCCAGATCAGCTGGATCAAGGTAGGGGGCCATCTGAGCTGGGGGGGGGGGGAGACATTTTTTCACCTGCATTCACTTGCTTCTCCACCAGTAGTGCTGGATCCAGTATAACTCCTAGGCTTCTAACCAAGTCAGCAAGGGTCAGCTGATCCCAACTGAAGCGGGAAGCACAATGTCTTTCAAGATCCCCATCTTCCAAACCAGCATTACTTCTGTCTTGTCAGGATTTAGTTTCACTTTCTTCACCCTTAACTATCTAACAATAGCAGACAGGCAGCAATTCAGGACCTCTATCACATCACTACGAGATATAGAGCTGGATGTAGTCAGCATATTAGTAACAACCAACACCAAAACTAATTGCTTATCCTAAGAACTTAACATAGAAACTGAAAAGCACGGGGAACAGGATTGCACCCTGAGTAACCCCACAGGATAGGTCCCATATTGATAATAACTGGTCTTCAGTGGCAACCCTATGAGTCCAGTCCATGAGAAACAAATCAAGTCAGTCCAAGGTACATTGTCTGATACATACTTCTGCCTCCGAATGCCTCAGCAAGATGGCATGGTCTGCTGCATCAAAGGCTGTAGATAAATCCAGTAGGAGCAACAAAGAGTCATGGCCTTTCTCTAAATTCAGATGGAGGTTGTTACCTAAAGCCATCAGGGCTATCTTTGTCCCATAGCTCAGCCTGGTCAGGCTAAAGAAAGTTTAGAGCAGGGATTCCCCAATAGGGGTGTGGGCTCAGTATAAACTGAGCCAAAAAAATACCTGATGAATACCTCATTAGTATTTATCGGGTATTTTCTCAGCCGGTTACCAACTGGGCTGCTGATTAGGCTTCCCAAAAATGGCCACTGCAAAAAATCCCCGAAAAAATAAATCCCGAAAATATTCAGAATTTTTTGGGGATGCCAGATAGCTGGTGTTTAAAAGGAATGCCACTTCAGAGTTCTCCAATCTCAATCATACCCCATGGGAACCATTATACTGTCTTTTGAGGCACATGTACCAAATCTGTAACATAGCTGCTGGTGCCTCTCCTCAAAAACCCATCCAAGTTTCAAAAAGATTGGACCAAGGGGTCCAATTCTATGAGCCCCAGAAGAAAGTGTCCTCATCCTCCATTGTTTCCAGAGGAGAGGGGAAAAGGCATTTAAAGGGAATGCAGTCCCTTTAAATGCCTTTTGCAAGCCATGCAGTGAGTGAACTCCAAAGTGGCGAGTCCACTTCATCTTCTGGGGGAGAAATATTTTAAAGAATATTTTTAAACATTATCTTCATTTAAAAAGGCATCCCGTTAAACAGAGCTTCTGCCTGTAATGTTACTATTAGAGCTATGTATGACCTCACCCCTGAGATCTTGTGATTGGCTCTGCCTCTTGTGGTGGCCATTTTGTGGTTGCACCCATTACAATGTGTCAGAATTCCAAAGGTGTCTGCAGGCTCAAAATATTCGGGGAGCCCTGGTCTAGAGTAGATGAGTTATCCAAGAAGATCTGGAGTTGGTCCACTACTGCTCTCTCAATCACTTTGCCTAGAAAGGGCAGATTAGACACTGGCCACATCGTTTTTCAGTAGGGATGGTTTTGTAAGTAAAGCATGGATACTGTCACTTTAGTTGTCAAGGAAAGGTATTCTGAGTTATTGGTTTATGATGGGCTGCTAATTTTACTGGAAAATGTTTTATTGCTGAGAATTTTATTATTCAAATTTCATCAAACTTCTTTGATGGTTTGATTAAAATTAATTGAAATATTTGTTGTTTTGTTTTTGTTATTAACTCTATTGAGACAGAGGTGGGATGGATATATTCTAAATAAATATACTGGAAAGTATATCAATCATCGAAGGAGCATGTTCCGTGTCTCTGCTCAGTCTAAAGCAAGGTCCTGAGATGAGCATGCAAGTGTTCCTTTGGTGAATAAGTGAAAACTCTTTGTAAGATCTAAAATGGTATGTTGTATTTTTTTTAAAAAAAAAATCTAATAAGTAGAGATGGAAGATAGAGGAGGATATTGTGTGTGCCTGTGTATAGCATAATAGACCACACCCAACAGGAAAAAACTCATTAGCATATTAGGCCACACCCCTGATGACACAGCTCCTTAGCATATTAGGCCGCACCCCCATGTTGCAAGAAGTGTAGTCATCCAGCCACACCCACATTTTGCTTCTTATTCTGTTTACCCTGTTTGTTGTCAAAACCCAGGGCTTTTTTGGTAGCAGGAACTCCTTTGCATGTTAGGCCACACACCCCTAACGTAGCCAATCCTAATGAGTTCCTGCTGTTGGGTGTGGCCTATTATGCTAATGAGTTCCTGCTGGGCGTGGCCAACTCGGGAGCCAGCCGGAACTCCGTTCCTGTGCGTTCCTGCCCCAAAATAGCCCTGGTGTGTGCACATAAACAATTTCTGATAAGACACATCTCTGCTAGCTACTTTTCTATTGTGGGTTTATAGTAAAGTAAACATTTTTTTAAATTAACTAAAGGTACGTTCCAACACAAAATGTAATATCAATTTTATTTATTTAGACATTTATACCCAGCTTTTCTCCCCAACAGAGACCCAAAGCAACACAGGTTGTTGCCCCCTCCTCCATTACATCTTCATAACAACCACATTGTTAGGTAGGTTAGGCTGAGAGAAACTGGGCCAAAGTCCTCCAGGAAGCTTCAGTAGAAAAGTGCAAATTCAAACCTGGGTCTCCCATATTCTAGTCTGCCAACACTACACTGACCAATTTTAAAAGTAAACCGTAGCAAAATTATTACAAACTGCAACATAAGCAGGTTATTAAATACTGTCCATAAGCTTTACAAAGCTATACATTATTTTCATACAGTGTGAAACAGACTGTACAGCTTGCCATGTGAAACCAAAGAGACAAAGACCAGAATACAGGAAATGCTGCTTCTCTCATTTTAATGGAACATTCTTGTTCAGAAGCAGTATACCTTTGATTATCAGGTGGCAGCAACAGACATCAGGTGGCTGTTTCCATATGGGTAGAAATATGCTCACATAGGCTGATATAGAGCATTGGTAATAAAGCAGTTGAAATGATACCTTTCATCCTCTGCTTCAAACCCCCGAAATAAAGCGTACTGGAAAGCAATTTTACACACTTTCTCTCATTTAACTCCTTTACATGTGAGCCTCCCTGTGGCATCTGATGGCCACTTGGAAGCAGAATGTTAGACTAGAATGATTCACGTGTAATAGTCCCACTCCAGTCTCTCTTTGCAGTGCTCAGAGTAGCAATTTAGTCTCACAACAATATTGTGAAATATGTTATGCATGCTGAGATGCCTAGACCATCCAGGTGAACAGCAAAGTAAGTTCACATTCCATAGTCTCCTGCTGCACCACAGACATGTGGTGACTTTTTCAAAAGGTCACAGAAAACTGAAAAACAAATTTAGTTCATGTCTTACTTCCACATCTTACAGTAGAGAGCACTGATATTTCAACTGCTTCCCTTTACACAACTTTACACAAGATTTTTCCATACTTACTCTTGGTCCAGCTCCTCCAATAGGTCCAAAAGGTCCTTCTTCTCCCTAAAATAACATAATGTTAGCAATCTTTCTTTCCTGGACATTAGAGCATCCCAAAAGCTCCTTTATATTACATTAAACACCTGAATTTTATTTATTTATTATTTATTTTTCTTTATTTATTCGATTTATATCCCGCCCTCCCCACATGCAGGCTCAGGGCGGCTTACAACATTGGCACATTGCCAATAAAACCATATAACATAAAACACTACGATAGGATTATAAAACATAGAAACTAAGGTGCTATTAGTAATACAATTCCTATTTGCGGTGGCGTACTGGATATGTCTCCAACTGCTGAGTTCAGTTCAGTGTCATCCTGAGTCACTCAGTGTAATGAGCCAGATGTTGAAACTGAGGGCTGGGCTCATTGATGGTATTAGTGGGGCGGCTCCTAATCGAAAGCCTGGTGGAAGAGCTCCATCTTGCAGGCCCTTCGGAACTGTAATAGGTCCCGCAGGGCCCTGATCTCCTCCGGGAGCTCGTTCCACCAGTAAGGACCCGCCATTGAAAAGGCCCTAGCCCTTGTCGCAGCGTGCCTGGCATCCTTGGGGCCCAGAAGGGTCAGCCGATTCTGTAACCCTGTCCACACTGCTCTCTGGGGTATATGCGAGGAAAGGCGGTCACTCAGGTATGTCGGACCCTGGCCATATAGGGCTTTAAAGGTAAGTACCAGCACCTTGAAGCGAACTCAGTATGCTATTGGCAGCCAGTGCAGGGCCTTCAACATGGACTGGATGTGCTCCCATCTTGGTAAGCCCATCAACAGCCTGGCCGCGGCGTTCTGCACTAGCTGCAGCTTCCGAATCTGCGACAAGGGCAGCCCCATGTAGAGAGCGTTGCAGTAGTCTAGTCTCGAGGTGACCGTCGCATGGATCACTGTGGCCAGGTTGTTGCAGTCAAGGAAGGGAACCAACTGCCCAACAGCCGAAGATGGTAAAAGACCGACTTGGCAGTGGCTGCTACCTGGGCCTCCATTGTTAAGGAGGAATCCAGGAGTACTCTCAAACTCCTAACCCCCGGCACTGGCACCAGTAGTGCCCCACCAAAGATCGGGAGTGGTGTATACCCCATCTTTCCTCGTGGTTCAAGGCAGTTTAGAGTAGTAGTTTAAAAATTAAATTATAATCAAAATAACAAAAACCCCAAACCTCTCTCTCCCTCCTGCATCTTAAAAGATGTTTGCCATTCATATTTATTAGCAGCAGCAGTTTTAGTTTATTGTATTGACCATGGGTCATAACAATATATAACAAAATCTTCCACATACTAATTAACAAAATTACAAATATAATACAGGATTAAACCATATAAAATCAGTCCAGTTTTAAAAGTTCAAAACTATTTTAACTTCTTATAGCTATTATTCCATACAGTTCGATCTAATCCTTCTTGCAGCTAATGAAAACAAAGTGACTCTATTAGAAACATAAGAATCCTCATCAGCAAGCAAAAGTATTACTTTTTCCAAGTCTGAAGCTCCTTCCCACATGGATAGAATACTAGTAATATATTTGTTTGGGAAGTCATGGTGAAGGGGACATCTCAAAATATAATGAATTAGATCATCTATTTCTCCCAGACCACACACACAGAATCGTAACGGGGCAGGAACACTTAAGAAATGCCCCCAAAGTATTACTTTTTCCAAGTCTGAAGCTCCTTCCCACATGGATAGAATACTAGTAATATATTTGTTTGGGAAGTCATGGTGAAGGGGACATCTCAAAATATAATGAACCATATCATCTATTTCTCCCATACCACACACCCAGGATCGTAACAGGGCAGGAACACTTAAGAAATGGCCCAATTGAACCGCTGAGGGCATAGCTTAAAATCTTAAACTAGTAAAGGCCAACCTTAATTTTATTGTTGTTAAAGTCCTCATATAAGAAGACCTAATCTGATATCTTTTTAGAAGTTTGAAAAAAGGGGCCACTATGGATTGAGTAATTACCTGTCTATTTCCTCATCCATTTTAAAGACCCATTCCTTCAACTCCTTCAGCTCCTGTCCTGGTGTTTTAGTACTTAACAGCTCCTTCGGAATTGCATACTTCAACTGAATAAAATCCAGATATTCCTTCTAGCTCTTAATACGTTTTAAACGGGAGCAAAAATTTTGACACCTCAGTGAATCCTGAGAACATTCTGGATTTTTCTTCCAATAAGACAGAACACTAAAATTAGCCCTTGCTTTCATAGAAGGAATACCAAGCTCAGCTCTCAATAATGCCACTGGAGAACACTTTGGCAACCCAAGAATCCATATTGTAAAATAATTTTGTATTACTTCCAATGAATCCAGAATCTGCTCTCCCCAACGCCATATTCCCCCTCATGGATCACTGCCTTGTCGTGGCGAGGGGGCTTGAGCAGTTCAATGAAGCTGTGGGCTATGCCGTGAAGGGCCACCCAAGACGGACAGGCCACAGCAGAGAACTCAGACCAAGAGTGATCCCCCTGGAGAAGGAAATGGCAACCCACTCCAGTACTTTTGCCAAGAAAACCCCATGGAAAGTACCAAAAGGCTAAAAGATATGACGCCGGAAGATGAGCCCCTCAGGTTGGAAGGTGTCCAATATGCTACTGAGGAAGAGCAGAGGGCAAGTACAAGTAACCCCAGAAAGAGTGAAGCGGCTGGGCCAAAGCCGAAAGGACGCTCAGTTGTGGATGTGTCTGATGGTGAAAGGAAAGTCCGATGCTGCAAAGAACAATACTACATAGGAACCTGGAATGTAAGATCTATGAATCAAGGGAAGTTTGACGTGGTCAAAAATGAGATGGCAAGACTTAACATCGATATCTTAGGAATCAGTGAACTTAAGTGGACAGGAATGGGCGAATTTAACTCAGAAGACCATTATATCTACTACTGTGGCCAGGAATCTCGTAGAAAAAATGGTGTGGCCTTTATAGTCAACAAGAGAGTGCAAAAGTCAGTACTGGGATACAATCTCAAAAATGACAGAATGATTTCTGTCCGATTCCAAGGCAAACCATTCAACATCACAGTAATCCAAGTCTATGCCCCAACCACTGATGCAGAAGAGGCTGAAGTGGACCGGTTCTATGAAGACCTACAACACCTCCTAGGAATTTAAACCTGGGTCTCCCAGATGCTAGCCTGACACTCAAACCCTGGCTATCAGTGTTTGCAGACAACCTCCTAGGATTTCTAAAGCTTTTTGTTTTTTAAGCTTTTTTTTAGCTCCACTTATAACTAATGCAGAGATACGTTAGAAAGAACAGTATTGTGCTCCACTCAGGGACCACACATGGGGGCAAGGAATAAATGCACTTCACTGCAGAAACAACAGGTTTGGGTCTGGGGGAAGCGATGCAATCTGAAACCTTGTGTGTCTAATTACACAATTTCAGAAATGAATAGACTTTGTTTCATTCATGACTCTCTATTGGATCTTGGGGGGCAGGGAGGCAGGATTGCATTTTGACAAAATTGTACCAGGCCCATAAAAATGGTACTTGGGGGTCCTGCCCACACCTGTCTCTATAGAGCAGTACAGAGTGTTAAATAGCACCTGTATGAGAACACCAATGGTAATGCTAAGGGCTGCCAAGGCACTGTCTAGAAAAGGGGAACTCATTTGTTATGAGGGCCAGATCTGACATAAATGAGACTTCGTTGGGCCGGGCCATGTGTGCCATGAAATGTAATGCCAGGTAGCAGAGATATAAACTTTATAAAGGACACAAACACAAAGATTAATTTTTTTACTTAAAACAGAAACATACTTAAAACATTAGCACACTTGCAATATTTTGTTTATTTAACAGTGTCTAGTAACTGGCACCTCTTGCTCTGAATTATTGCATCAAAATGTCTGTGCTGTTGCAATCTTGAGTATGCTGTTCAAATGTGTGTATGTAAGCTGCAAACCTAATTTTTTTTTTGTTGACATTCACTACAGAAATCTCATGCTCTGAGTTCTGAGTCTCGGACCCAGGGGAAAACATGAAATGGCTGGGCTTTGCAAGCTTTTGTACATAAACTGCTTCGTGTGCTGGTCAAGAACATGAGAAGGCACCATGACACAGACTGAGAGCTATGTGTTTGTCTACAGTTTGGTATAGTGCAGGGGTGGCCAAACTTGCTTAACGTATCAGCCACACAGAATAAATGTCAGATGTTTGAGAGCTGGAAGACATGAACGAATATTACACACACATTTTTATTGAAAAATATGCAAATTTGCTTTATATTAAAATCAGACTGTGCGAAAAA